GAGGGGGTTGCAACCCTCGATTTCTTCCCCTTGTCGCATGATTTTTTGTACGGCGTTGTGACATTATGGATTAGAAGAGGTATTGAAACTGTATGGAACTGATGCCGTACATAATCGAATGACCACATTTACCCTAAAAATCGCCGGAAAATCAAAAATTTTTCCGACTTTGTGGCGCACTACTTTTGTACGGCACTGCGCGTTTTCTCATTATTTTCCATGGATCTATTGATGGTAAGAATGCCGTACAAAAATACATGACCAAAATGTACTCACTCTACCTGTGCTTTTGAAATCTCACCTGCACTCAGTTGGACAGCTTACAAGCGACGGCATAGTGCTGAATCTTATTATTTTGTACCCTTATATCGTTCTGTATAGGTCTTCTGGTGGTTCAAATGACCCATCAATTTTTTACATGGGCCTGTAGTCTACTAGAGATGCGGCTGCTTGGCACGCCGCCTTGATGCTGGCAGTGTGCGTGCTTGTGCGCGCGATCGTGCGCCTTGCTGCGCTGTCGAAACCGACGCCGATGGCTTCACTTACCGGTGATCCGATTGTATGCTTCGGACACCTCGCCAATAATGCCACGTGAGTGCCGGGAAAACCTGATGTCGGTTATCGTGTGCCTCGTGAACCGAATGGTGATCCAAGATGGCTGGATCCGGTTCGAAGGACCAAAGGATGCGTGTTAGCGCGATGCCGAGATGCACGCTTTTCCACGCGGTGACACGCGGCGGTAATTATCTCGCGTTCGGGCGTGGTCGGGAACAAAAGTAGCTGTATTCCCTTGCTTGCTTAATTCTTTATTGATACGGTTCACTTGGTTAGTACACACACGGCTATCGTACACGCGGCTGGCTGGACGGTTGGATCGTAGAGAACAAGGCAGAATTAATACGCTAACAACGTCGATTAGGGACGCAAGCGCCGCGGTGGCTAGATCGCGCACTACTAAGCCGATCACCGCTCGAAAGCGGCGCGAGTAATAATGGCGCGAGTATGTCGGCGGACACGCAGGAGAAATATTGTACCTAACAACAACAATCACCATCATTATATACGCCACAATCACCATCATTACTTACACAACAATCATCATCCATATCATCGTCACAAATAAAATAAATAAGTATTTTCGAAACAACTTTCATTTTGCGATTTTTTAAATTTAGTCTTCTATTTTACTTGATACTGAACATTTTCAAAATCTTGCATAATGTGTTATACTGTATTATCATTCAAACCGTCTTTTCATTTAGAATCATATACACATAAGCTTTTATTAATAATACATATAATATAAATATAATGAAAGATAATAATAATTGACTCGTATGATTTAAAAATCGAGGAAAGTGTAAAGTGTAAAGCCTAATCGAGTCTTGAAAACAAGATGTTAATGTTTATTATATTGTGTGAAATTTATATACTGCGTATGTAGTCCCCCCGCGACGCTGATGGATTTTCAGCATTGACGCATACATATTCACTACCGCAGTAATATCACTTTAGTTAAATTGAGAATCAATTTAACCACTTTTTGATGCCTATAGCATCTTATTAGATC